CTAATCTTATCCTTTCTCGTGTGCCCACACATCCAACGAAGCATCCTCATCTCCGCTACTACACCCATTTTGTGTACGTGTTGATGTTTCACCGCCCAATATTCTGTGCCATACAGCATCGCCGGCCTTATTGCCGTCCTATATAAATTTTCCCTTGAGCTTTAGTGGCATACGGCGGTCACATAACACGCCGGATGCACTCTTCCACTTCATCCATCCAGCTTGTATTCTATGGTTGAGATCTCCATCTAATTCTCCGTTCTTTTGCAAGATAGATCCTAGGTAACGAAAACGGTCGCTCTTTGGTATTTCTTGATCTCCGATCCTCACCCCTAACTCGTTTTGGCCTCCATTTGCACTGAACTTGCACTCCATATATATTCTGTCTTTGATCGGCTTAGGCGAAGACCTTTAGATTCCAACACTTCTCTCCAAAGGTTAAGCTTTGCATTTACCCCTTCCTGAGTTTCATCTATCAACACTATATCGTCTGCGAAAAGCATACACCAAGGAATATCATCTTGAATATGTTCTTGTTAACTCATCCATTACCAACGCAAAAAGGTAAGGACTTAAGGATGAGCCTTGATGTAATCCTACAGTTATGGGAAAGCTTTCGGTTTGTCCTTCATGAGTTCTTACGGCAGTCTTTGCTTCTTCATACATATCCTTTATAGCTTGGATATATGCTACTCGTACTCCTTTCTTCTCTAAAATCCTCCAAAGAATGTCTCTTGGGACCCTATCATACGCTTTTTCCAAATCTATAAAGACCATGTGTAAATCCTTTTTCCCATCTCTATATCTTTCCATCAATCTTCGTAAGAGATAGATTGCCTCCATGGTTGAGCGTCCTGGCATGAACCCGAATTGGTTGTCTGAAACCCGTGTCTCTTGCCTCAATCTATGCTCAATGACTCTCTCCCAGAGCTTCATTGTATGACTCATTAGCTTAATACCCCTATAGTTCATGCAATTTTGTACGTCGCCCTTATTCTTGTAGATAGGCACCAAAGTGCTCGTTCGCCACTCATTTGGCATCTTCTTCGTTTTCAAAATCCTATTGAAAAAGGTCAGTGAGCCATGTTATACCTGTCTCTCTCCCAAAAGTTTCCACACTTCGATTGGTATATCGTCTGGGCCTATTGCTTTTTTATGCTTCATCTTCTTCAAAGCTACAACCACTTCTTCCTTCCGGATTCGACGATAAAAAGAGTAGTTTCTACACTCTTCTGAGTTACTCAACTCCCCTAAAGAAGCACTCATTTCATGTCCTTCATTGAAAAGATTATGAAAATAACCTCTCCATCTGTCTTTAACCGCGTTCTCTGTAGCAAGAACCTTTCCATCCTCATCCTTGATGCACCTCACTTGGTTTAGGTCCCTTGTCTTCTTTTCCCTTGCTCTAGATAGTTTATAGATATCCAACTCTCCTTCTTTGGTATCTAGTCGTTTATACATATCGTCGTAAGCCGCTAACTTAGCTTCTCTGACAGCTTTCTTCGCCTCTTGCTTCGCTTTTCTATACCTTTCACCATTTTCATCGGTCCTCTCCTTGTATAAGGCTTTACAACATTCCTTCTTAGCCTTCACTTTGTTTGTACCTCCTCATTCCACCACCAAGATTCCTTTTGGTGTGGGGCAAAGCCCTTGGACTCTCCTAATACCTCTTTTGCTACTTTTCGGATACAACTAGCCATGGAATCCCACATTTGGCTAGCTTCCCCCTCTCTATCCCACACACATTGGGTGATTACCTTCTCTTTGAAAATGGCTTGTTTTTCTTCTTTTAGATTCCACCATCTAGTCCTTGGGCACTTCCAAGTCTTGTTCTTTTGTCTTACTCTTTTGATATGTACATCCATAACCAACAAGCGATGTTGATTAGCCACGCTCTCTCCTGGTATAACTTTGCAATCCTTACAAGTTATACGATCCCCTTTCCTCATTAGAAGAAAATCTATTTGTGTTTTTGACGACCCACTCTTGTAGGTGATCACATGTTCTTCTCTCTTCTTAAAGAAGGTGTTGGCTAAGAAGAGATCATATGCCATTGCAAAATCCAAGATAGCTTCCCCATCCTCGTTTCTCTCCCCAAAACCATGGCCACCATGAAAACCTCCATAGTTGCCTGTCTCCCTGCCCACGTGTCCATTTAAATCTCCTCCTATAAATAACTTCTCCGTCTGAGCAATTCCTTGCACCAAGTCTCCAAAATCTTCCCAAAATTTCTCCTTCGAACTCGTATCCAACCCTACTTGAGGTGCGTACGCACTAATCACATTGATAAGTTCTTGTCCTATTACAATCTTGATTGCCATGATTCTATCTCCTACCCTCTTGACATCTACAACATCTTGTACCAAGGTCTTGTCCACGATGATGCCAACACCGTTTCTCGTTCTATTTGTGCCCGAATACCAAAGTTTAAACCCTGAGTTTTCTAAATCCTTTGCCTTACTACCAACCCACTTAGTTTTCTTGTAGGCACATAATATTTATCCTTCTCCTCACCATAACTTCCACTACTTCCATAGATTTTCCCGTTAAGGTTCCTATATTCCACGTTCCTAAACGCATTTTGCTCTCTTGAACTCTACCCTTCTGTCCTAGCTTCTTCACCCTCTCCCGTCTAATAGGATCAAAGTACTTCTTTTGTGTGTCCCGGGTAAAGTTGATAGGAGCATATGCTCCCAAACAACTTTGAGTGGAGTCGTTCGAAAAGAAGTTTCTATGGCCCCCTTGCTCATTTAACACTGCATCCGGGTGCCGATGGAGATACAGCGACCCTTGCTCACTTATCACTGTGCTCGGGCTACACAGCGCGCCACTTACGGGTGACGCCCTAGCTTTAGCGCGATTTTGTTCTGGATTCATTTTCATAAGGATTCGACGTGATCATGGAGTGCCGGCTGTCGACTACCTGACGCCCTCCCCCTCCTCCTTTATCCGGGCTTGGGATCGGCCATGTAAGACATAGGCGGAGTTTTTCTTTCTTAAAGTTAAACAAATATAAAATAAACTTCGTGTTTTTTATTTCCTTAATTATTTATAGTGTTCTGGACTTGAAGTAAATCATGTCATTGTTGAGAATATCGTGTTTAAGAATGGGAAAAATAGAACAAACTCCGGAAATCGAAAACAAATAACCAACATAAATAACACCAAGAATTTACGTGGTTTGGCAATATGTGCCTACGTCCACGGGACAGCAACAACAATCTTTCACTATATCAATAATGAGTACAACCAATAATCTTGCCAAATCTCTAGAACTAGGACTTGATGAAAAACCTGAAAGGACAGGAACAAGAAATACACTATCTCTTTTCTTTTCTCTCACACACACTTTACAATATTTTCTCACTCTAATCCCTTGAGCGGTATACAATTTATTGTTTTGCTCCCTTCAATTCAAAACTAGTACCATAGCCCCTTTATATAGACATAATAAAGGTCTTCTTCAATAAGGATTATTAATCCTAATTGGAATCTAGTTATGAATCCTACTCCAATTGAGAAACTAACTCCAATTGGGAAAACAACTTCAATTGGGAAAACAATTTAATCCTCTAAGACTATAATTCCTTATAGACTTAGGACAACTTATCATGGGCTGGAAAAACCTAACAATCCATGAGGAAGGTATACCAAAAAATAGGATTGCTCCTCTTGACCAAACTCCCATTGATCGAACTTCGCATAACCACGCTCCCCCTAATTGAACTACTCATGACCAGACTCCCTTTGATCGAACTACTCATTAACCAAGACCCTCTTGATTAGACTTCTCTTGACCATGCTCCCTCTGATCGCAATACCCATGACCAACTCCATGTGATCGAACATCTCTTGACCAAAATTACTTGACCAAACTTCTCTTGACCAGGCTCCCCCTGATCAGAACTACCATCGTCATTGGCAAAGGCAATTATAGACTTCTTTGCCAGAAAACATCGCTTATCTTCATCTTGGTCCAATTAGCATCAGACATACTTGTTGGCTTGATCTTAACACCTTTAGTGAAGCATGTCCTCCTCTTAATTTCCACGTAACCCAATTAAAGCAGGTTGCACCCTCCATTCTAAACGTATATCAGCCAAACCTAGCTCTGATACCACTTGTTGAGAATATCGCATTTAAGAATGGGAAAAATAGAACAAACTCCGGAAATCGAAAACAAATAACCAAGATAAATAACACTAAGAATTTACGTGGTTCAGCAATTTGTGCCTGCATCACGGGACAACAACAACAATCTTTCACTATATCAATAATGAGTACAACCAATAATCTTGCCAAATCTCTAGAACTAGGACTTGACGAAAAACTTGAAAGAACAAGAACAAGAAATACACTATCGCTTTTCTTTTCTCTCGCACACACTTTACAGTATTCTCTCACTCTAATCCCTTGAGTGGTTGTTTTGCTCCCTTCAATTCAAAACTAGTACAATAGCCCCTTTATATAAACATAATAAAGGTTTTCTTCAATAAGTTTTATTAATCCTAATTGGAATCTAGTTATGAATTCTACTCCAATTGAGAAACTAACTCCAATTGGGAAAACAACTCCAATTGGGAAAACAATTTAATCCTCTAAGACTATAATTCCTTATAGGACAACTTATCATGGGCTGGAAAAACCTAACAGTCATTGTATTTGTGCTATCATATTCTAGTACTAGAATTCATTGAAAATACTTTTCCATGAAAAATTAGAAAAACAACTCACTCCAAATACTTGAAAGTGTGGCGTCAATAATATTGAGGGCATTGTGTGCATACATTCAAAATTTTCATAAAACTATGTTTTATAATTCTTTATTGCACATGGTGTTTGAACACCAACATAATGTCATCGACAGATATCTTGTTTTAGACAAGTTTGGTCATAGTCACGTTTATATTTATTTTATATTAACATTTGTTGCAATAATTTACATGATATCATTTGTTATACCACGGAAGTGATTTATTCCTCCCCACTTTACCAATTAGGTGCGGGTATGGAACATGAAATCCCTTGGCAGGGATTTGGATAATGAAGAATCATCAGCCCAGAGGCTACTCGCAACTCTCCGTGATCACTTTGGTTCTGTGAATTGTGTTAGGTGGGCTAAGCATGGTCGGTTTGTTGCATCAGGATCAGATGACCAAGTGATTCTAATTCATGAAAGAAAGCCTGGTTCAGGAACCACTGAGTTTGGCAGTGGAGAGCCACCTGACCTTGAAAATTGGAAAGTTGCAATGACTTTGAGAGGGCATACTGCAGATGTGGTAATGACATTGCTTTTACTATTTGGGAGTCAGACCACCTAAATAAATTCTTTCATCTTATAGTTTGTTGAAATCGAGTATGGGTTGCTTCATGAATATGATCCACCTTTTGTTTTCAAAAAATAAAGTCATCTTGCTTTCCAGGGTTTATCTTGAGCTACAGTGAATTGGGTTTGTATGAATACAGCTGCCCTACCAAAGAAAAAATCATGGATAATTTAGTTGTGTTCTATATAAATTTTCCTAAATGAATGCTATGGAATCCTTTTATAGTTCCTGGTGGGTATTGTCTTACTGAGGTGCTGTTTTTCCATGCTTAAAGTAGGTGGATCTTAATTGGTCTCCAGATGACTCGATGTTGGCCAGTGGAAGTTTAGATAACACTATACACATCTGGAACATGAGCAATGGTATTTGCACTGCTGTTCTGAGGGGTCACTCTAGCCTGGTTAAAGGAGTTACTTGGGATCCTATTGGCTCCTTCATAGCAAGTCAGTCAGATGATAAAACTGTAATTATTTGGCGAACAAGTGACTGGAGTCTTGTGCACAGGACAGACGGCCATTGGCAAAAATCAGTATGTCAATTGTATCACTGTGGTTTCTTTATACAGGTTCAGATATCATTTTCTAACATGCTTGTGTTTCTTCAGCTTGGATCTACCTTTTTCAGGCGGTTGGGATGGTCCCCTTGTGGCCACTTCATTACTACCACTCACGGATTCCAGAAACCAAGGCATTCTGCCCCTGTTCTAGAGAGAGGGGAATGGTCTGCTACATTTGACTTCTTAGGACATAATGCCCCTGTGATTGTAGTGAAGTTTAACCATTCAATGTTTAGGAGGAACGTTTCCAATGCTCAGGAAAAAGCTGCACCCGTTGGGTGGACTAATGGTGCTTCAAAGACAGGAGGAAAAGAGAAAGAACCACAACCTTATAATGTCATTGCTATTGGGAGTCAGGACCGGACTATAACAGTGTGGACTACTGCAAGTCCCCGACCCCTCTTCGTAGCAAAGCATTTCTTTACTCAAAGTGTTGTGGATTTATCCTGGTATGGTTTCCGTTTTCCTATAAATATCTACCAGTTAGTACTTTTTCATATTCTGTATCATTTTAATTTAGCTTTTTATTCTTTTTATGTTTATTCCTTTATATAATGTGTTTTTCTTTTCTCGTTGAAACAGGAGCCCTGATGGTTATTCACTTTTTGCGTGTTCTTTGGATGGTTCAGTGGCAACTTTCCATTTTGATGTTAAAGAACTTGGCAACCGTTTAAGTGATGCTGAACTGGATGAATTGAAGAGAAACCGTTATGGTGATGTTAGGGGTCGGCAAGCAAATTTAGCTGAAAGCCCAGCTCAATTATTGCTCGAAGCAGCATCTGCTAAGCAAGCCCCAAGCAAAAAAGTGATTCTGGATGTTCAGCAAAACCAGACAGTTGTAAAACCTTCTGTTGATGCAACGGTTGCAACAAAAACTTCTGCAGATGGCTTAAATAAGGTTTCGATGCCTGCCAGAATTTCCAGTCCTGTGAAGCAGAGGGAATATAGACGCCCTGATGGTAGAAAGAGGATTATTCCAGAAGCAGTTGGGGTACCTCTGCAGCAGGAAAATATTTCTGCTGGGGTTCAGACCCAGGCACTTGATTTCCCTTCTATGCCTTCTGATAAAAAAAATGATGAGAATGGGTTAATTGCAGCTGATAGTGGCATCAAAGAAACATCTATTAGGGGAGCAATTGGCAGAAGCGCTGAAATAAAGGAGGGACATGGGGTAACTGCTAGAGCTATGATTACCAAAAGCCTTGTTATTGAGAAGGTTCCTGCCTCCACAGGTGGAGATGAAAGCATAGCTGTGGAACAGTCGGGGAATTTGAAGGCTTCTAGTTTGGCAGGTTCTTCATGTTCCACTCTTTCAATTAGGGTGCTAGATAGGAAAGAAGGAGAAGGCAATGTACCAATTTGCTTGGAAGCTCGACCTCGGGAACACGCTGCAAACGACATTGTTGGCATGGGAAATACATTTATCATGAAAGAAACAGAAATTACTTGCACAAGAGGGTTGCAAACTCTTTGGTCAGATAGGATATCAGGGAAAGTCACTGTTTTAGCTGGAAACGCAAACTTCTGGGCTGTTGGGTGTGAAGATGGATGCATACAGGTGAAAATCTATATGTTTTACACTTGTATACATATAAGTTTTCTCCTTTTTCTTCGTTTTTTCCACCAAGTGTTATTAGTAGATTTATTTCTCATTAAGTTCAAAACTCTGCATAATATAATTCGATTTGTTTTCTAGGCGGTTGCACTCCACATATCCCATTTAAAGTTTAGTGTACTTATTACTAAAATGTTTCTTTGCACAGTGACTTGGTCATACATTATGACAAACACCTTGGTACTAGGATTCTGATGCCAACTTGTTCTTTCTAATCAATCTTTTATATTGAATTACCCTTGAAGCTATAGCATTTTATTTCCGTTGCAGCGTTTGATTTTTAAGTGATTGTAAGATGCTAATGTACCATAGGTCAGAACTTAGCATTCTTTTTCTTTCAAGGTAGTTAAGAAAATCCATTAAAAAAAAAGGGTTTTGAACAAGTGGTTGGCTTAAGCTCTTGGTTGGGCGTATGGTTCATTCAAGGGGGCGGAATACCCAAAGGTCCTAATTCTCACAAGCTAGTTCAATCTCCTTAAATATTCTGACAAGCATCATGCCATTTATGTTAATTATAGATTTTTAGATACAAATATATTACCACCAAGCTTGTTATAAGTGGTTGAATTTATTTAACTTATCGACATTTTTGGTTCCCTTGAGTAGGTTTACACAAAGTGTGGGAGGCGTGCTATGCCAACTATGATGGTAGGATCTGCAGCAATATTTATAGATTGTGACGAGTGCTGGAAATTATTTTTGGTCACAAGAAAAGGATCCTTTTATGTATGGGATCTATTAAAGCGGAATTGCCTCCTCCATGACTCATTGGCATCTCTGGTCGCTTCAAACCCAAACCCATCTGCAAAAGACGCAGGTACCACTTTGCACTCGTCTTTTCAACCCTTGAAGTGTCTTTATGGATCTCTAGTTGGCGGATAGTCATAACCTATGTCTTGTCAGCATGCGGTCTAGATGTGCTTAACATCCTGGCCACTGTGGCTGTTGGTATTGTTTTCTCCTTTTATTTCTGATCTTTTTATCCATGCTTTCCAGGTGTGATCAAAGTTATATCAGCAAAGCTATCAAGATCTGGTTCACCTCTTGTTGTTCTTGCCACTCGCCATGCCTTCCTCTTTGATATTAGCCTGATGTGTTGGCTTAGGGTTGCAGATGATTGCTTTCCTGGGTCAAATTTTGCAAGCTCTTGGCATTCGGGTTCAGCTCAGGGTGGTGAGCTGGCTGCTTTGCAAGTTGATGTTAGGAAATATGTGGCCAGAAAGCCAGGTTGGAGCAGGTTTGTACTGATAAACATGGAATTGTTAAGATTATAATATTTGCTGACGTGCATACTACAGTCTAGTATCCTGCTTTTGGAATTGATCTGTTTTACTTTCCTGTAGGGTAACAGATGATGGAGTGCAGACACGTGCTCACTTGGAGGCTCAGTTAGCTTCCTCGCTAGCATTAAAGTCAGCTAAAGATTATCGCCAATGCCTTCTATCATATATACGCTTCCTTGCAAGGTATTTATTTTCTATTGTGCATGTATTATTAAATATAGGAAGACCTATATGTCCTTGCACTCCTGCTGCTCCTCTTTTGTGCTATATGTGCATATATTTCAACTAATGTTGAGTACTCTTATTATTATAATGTTCCTTGGTGGTTCTTCTCTTAACTAATACTTGTATGCTATGCTTCTGCTTTTTCTTTTGTTGTTGGCATCATCTTTTACCCTTTATACGGCAGAAAACATGAGGTGTGAATTTGGTTTTACAAATTTGACGCTAATTTGCGAATTTGGTATCTTGAAACATGACGTATATTTATGTCCATGCAGTGGATGTTGTTGCATGGGGGCTCTGAATGTCTGCTCTTAAGATGTGATGCCAACATTATATATGTATATGTGTGTGGGATGTATAACAATTTTAAAACTTTTGATGCATAATAACTTTAGTTTCTGCAGCAATGTGTGTGCATATATATATATATATATTTATTATGACTTTTTGTTTTCGCTGATTTCAGGGAAGCAGATGAGTCTCGTTTACGAGAAGTGTGTGAGAGTTTTCTTGGACCTCCAACTGGGATGGTGGACGATACAACTTTAGATTTAAACAACTCGGCATGGGATCCTTGTGTGCTTGTAAGGCTTTCCGTATAGTTCTTTAGGTGTCTTTTGCTATTTTTCAACCCATTTTTCCCCTAGTGTTTTTTTCCCCCCATTTGTTCTGTTATATGGCGTTAATGATACTCTTCTTGAGTCTAAATTTCTGCTGCTTTTACTCAGTCTGGTTGCATGGTGAGGGTTAAGCAGTATGTGTGAGCAATTTGTAAATCTAGGGTACTATCACATGCAGTTTGGTTGATTGCAGGGTAAATTTCAATGGTGTATATAACATGACACATGCTCTTAACAATTGCCATCCAATCTTTGCGACCCGATTGTTACTAGGCTTTAGCTTTTTTATTAAGCCTTTGGAAGGTTGTTTATACATGTTTTTCACTTGTGTTTTTGCTTTTGCAGGGAATGAGGAAACATAAACTTTTACGAGAAGATATCCTTCCGGCAATGGCTTCAAATAGAAAAGTACAGAGATTGCTTAATGAATTCATGGATCTCATTTCCGAATATGAAAGCGCTGAAACAAATATAGAGAAAAAGATTCAAACTTCGCTGACAGCACGTCAACCGGCAGCTGATGAAATGGACTCTGCTCCTTCTAGGACAAATGAAATGGACATTGTACCTGCAGCACCAGAGAAAACGAAGTCTGTTCCTGCTTCAACTGACCAAAAGGACTCTTCCCAGCTAGCAACAGATGAAGAAAATTCTGCTCCGGTAGCAGAAGACAAAGTTAATTCAGATCCACCAATGGGCAATCAAGTTAGTGAAGCTGCACAAGATGCAGGTTCTTGAGTTTTGCATCTCGGAAATGCAGAAAACCGGACTTTCCAAATGCAGTGTATCATAATGTAGCCGGCTTGGTGGATCTTGCTTGTACATTATTCGGTGTTATCCGAATTAAGGTGGCTTTCTCCTGAAAAAACTTGTTTTGTTGAGTGTCCTACTAGGAGAGCCTGCCATAAGGCGCCGATGAACACCTCTCTCTGTACGATTACGCTGTGTAATTTGTTGATAATATTTTTCTTAAATTATTCATAATATTTTACTCATTTAAGGAATCAGGCTTTTTGGTTGCCAATAGTGGTTGGAAGGAAGAAGAAGAAGAAAGGAAAAAAAAAAAAAACCCCAATTTCGTCTTCCCCCACCCCCTGCAACCCACAAAGAAAGAAAGATGAGGAAGAAAAAAAAAAAAAAAAACCAAAAGAAGAAGAAGAAGAAGAAAAAAAAATATATATTAAATGATTTTTTTTTTAGTTTTCAATAATATTTTTTTAGTTGTTTAATATAAAGTATTCTACATCAGCACATAACAAATTTTTTAATGGAATTATGACGGAAGGACTACATTGATTTGCGACACCCAATTTCAGGGACTGCATTGATTGATTTTCAATTTCAAGGACCATCTTGATGGGGTGGGTCAATTTCAGGAATCATTTGTGATAAAAGTTATGTCAATCAGGAACTCTTAGTTTTCCTTACACACGGTATTTTTCCTTAAAACCTAAGTCTTGATACTTAATCTGAATTTACCTTTTGTTTAAAGTTGTGTCTACCAAGAGAGCTGCATAGCTGTTGAGTTTGTGTACAGGCTACTCTGTGACCCAATAGTGTAATTTTAGACATGCACTTCTCACTTCTCAGTATCTTATATATGTACAGTAACAGTACAAGTTTCAAATTTTGTCCTTTTGAAATCATCAATTATGGACACTACAAAATCTGAGACTTTATGTTAAAATTGGGTAACTTGCCAAAACATGTGATACCTTGAAATTGAAAAGATGGCCGTGGATCATGTGAAGTGCAACAGATGTCCCCTCCTCTCTCCTGCCACATTTAAAACCATTCCCTCCCTCTCCCTCCTATTTTCCATTTAATATTTTTCTCCCTATATAATTTTGTATATATTTACCCCCTTGGATATCCCTCATCGTGCACCTTCTACTTCTTCCTCTCATTATCTCTCTGTGTTTAGCTTTTCTTTAAGTCTTCCTCCTTCGTAAGGAATCTCTTCTCAGGATTTGCCTTCAATAGTCCAAACTATTAAGTGGTCCGACTTTTTAAACAATCTTTTACCATTTCGATTTCTTAAAGTCATATATTCACCGTTTATTATTTCTCAGGCTATTGAGTAGTTCCTCGTATTTGTGTAGTTAATTTCAGTCACTATAAGAATTACAAGTTACAAAGAAAGTATGAAGAAGAGATTGTCTGTTGGAGTTGCAGCCCACACAAGTTTCCTCCTTGTGGTTTTCTTCATGCTAATTACGATAGGCAGAAGCCTACGTGTTTGGCCTCCTCACGTCCCTCGTATGTATAATCACTCATGTATTATCATTATCCTATACGTGTTAGGTCTAAACCAAATTTCCTATTTTTGTAATTAATTTGTCTCCCTTGATGCTTCAGTAAACCTTCAAAGAGAAGTTGCAGCCGGTAACAGAGAGAACCTGTACCGAAGCGAGGAAGGAGACGAGGAAAGAGGAAAGGAAGAAGAGAGGAAGGACCTATACCAAAGCGGATCGAGGTTGCCGGACTGTTCACATGCGTGCGGACCGTGCTTTCCATGTAAAAGAGTGATGGTGAGCTTCAAGTGCTCCACTTCAGAGTCATGCCCAATAGTCTACAGGTGCATGTGTAAAGGGAAGTATTACCATGTTCCCTCTAACTAGTATTCATCTTCAGATCTCCACCTTGCGACGGCTCTGCTACTGCTAGCTAATTACATGCATGCATGGGGAGATCTTTGCTAAGAACAATGTTAACTAACTTGTGCCCCTGACTTTTTTGGGCCCTGGAAGGTCGCCCTGCTCGCCCTAAGTCACGGCCGGCCCTATGAGGATGCATGTTAACTTGTGCAACTGGATTTTTCTTAACTACGTACGATTAATTTGTTTAGGATTTAATTGTAGTTTAGAGTCTTTGGATGAGCAGAAGAAAAGTTGTATTGCAAGGGAGTTAATTTGTATATTGCTTATCATCACGAGTTTCTTGCTTTTCCTTTGTCCTAGCCAATTATTAGATTTGAATTTTTTTTTTCCTTGTCGCTCTCCCTATATCTCTCTCTTTCTTTGATTGTATCCATCATATAACAACTTAATTTTGGTATGTCTCAACGAATTTAGCATGTGAAAGTCACGTGATTTTTTCTACCTCCGAAAAGTCTAATTTACTTTTACATATGCTTTAAGTAAAACAGATGACAACTATTGTCCTTAATTTGCAACAATTAATAAGAAACAAGGAATGACAAATAGACGGAACACAATATATGATGAAATCGAACGATAACCCTTAGGCTACAATCCACTAGCAAATCCTAGAATCCACTAGGAAGAAATAGAGAGAAACTCACGTGTATTGATAATAGTTCAAAGATGCTTGAATTACAACCCTAAAAGTTGTTTATATAGTCTTAGGAAATCTTAATTAGCTCCTAAAATATAAGAAACTTTGGAAATACAAGAAACTTGGGAATACATATTTCTGGCAAAATGGTCCCGAGGTCGATAATCCAAAAATTAGCATCTAAATTTCTGGAAAACAAGTCTTGAGACTTAAAACCATAAATTTGCCAAAATCGAGTTTACTTTGTTGTCTGCTTGTCAAGTTGCTCCATGAACATCTCGGCTAGCTATTGTACATCAGTCTCCTTCACTTTGAAAGAACTCCACCCCGAGTTATCATCTGGATACAAAAACTCATCACATTGAAACTTGATGACATCATCTTTATACATGTACTATTCCCTTATTTCCTACATTTTATGCTGCTACGCTTTTCTTGTGAAATTGGTTGTTTAATTTGTCGAATGAGTGTTTAGTAGATAATCGACCTTAGAGATGACTTTGGAGCTAATATGGTGATTTTAAGGCTAAAAGGGTCAAAGCTGGGAAGAAATGAAGTCTAAGAAGTATTTCAACCAAATCATCAGTGTCTAATTGGACGTTCAATGTGCAAATTAAAGGTTGCTGTTTGGAAATTGCAACTGGAGCTGGAACTTCTTGTGCAAATTGTCATATTTGTTGGGCTGTTAGAAATTCATCAGGACTAACTGGATTTTGTGCATCGTTGTCACGTATGTTGGGAAGTTTTGGATGTCTAGTTTCCACAGAATTTTATACCATAATTTAATACCACGTTAGGTAGCATATGAGTTGGATATGCCCACATCAACTTAAGAATAGCATTACTCTAAAACTATACACTTCACTCGCAAAGTTCAAAAAACAAAAAACAGAAATCGTTCTTGTCCTTAATTTGCTACAACTAATACACTACAAGAGCTTCTAAAAGAATAAAAAAAAAACTGTAGGGGAAAAATGGTGACAACTGAATTACAAGGGATAATGTTTGTGGTATTATATCCTCATTCTCAATTTTGATTTACCAGCTTTTTTGTCATGCTGCGTCGACTTGTGTATGAGGTGCTGGGTCAAATCATCCATAATTAAAGAAAGATGCTCGACTACTCAAGGTTGAGTAGATATTTTTACTCAAATAAATTCTGTTTGTCCAATTAATACAATTTTGTGTTTATGATCATAATTTTTCATATTATAAATCACTTTGTAAAGATCATCTCTGCAAAAAATAAAATAAAACCAATGTCGTTTAGTAAATCAAGTTGAGCAAATAAATAGGCGGTCCGTAATACGTTTACCAATTTCTTTGATCTGTTTTATACAATTCGATTTCTTTCACGCCTTGGACTCATGGTTGGTAAAAAAAAAAAAATCCCGAATCCGATGCACAAATAACAGTAAAAATAAAAATAAAAATATACGGAATACGGAATTAAAAATAAATTTCTTTTATACAAATAACCGAAATCCTTATAAGTGTACAAAAAATATTTTCTTTTATTTTTAAAAATCAGCAGTCTACCACAAACTCAGCTCATCTAGTCCCTATCTTGCCAAATAACTCATTTGAAAAATAAAAGGATGAAGGATAAGTAATAATCAATGTCACTTGGTGAGTTCAATATGTAATATGTCAAGGGATGTTGTTTTACAAACTCTAGAAAATAGAGTACTTAAATAAATTCATATATTACATAATTTCATATCACATCATCCATTTACGTATTCATTATATACTTCATCAAATGTTGACACACCCTGACCTAAATCAGGGCATGTTGGCCGTCACGTGAGGGTGACGTAGCCATGTGCACAATGCGGAAGCAGATGAAATACGAATAAACAAAAACCAAATCAACTAGAGTACTAGATAAGATAAGGTGCCAGTGCGAGATTACGTGTGAAATACACAACCAGAGTATAAATAGCATAAGTGTCGTCAAGCAGGACAAGTACTAATTATACAACGTCCAAGGGTGATCCCACATTTATGATGTTCTGTCAGAACCACCGTCGAAATCCCCGTGAGCCACCAAAGCATTTCTACCTAAAACCTGGAGGGGTGCAAAACAGAAAGTGTGAGTGGGCAAAAACAAAGCTTTTCAAAATCATTTCATTTCTCAAAAGTTCTAACCCCTCGCCGTAAAACCTGTATAATTTCCCAGAAAATAATAATAATAATAATAATAAGCTGTATTAGAAATCATACTCAAGATGAAAATCCATAGAAGTATACCATGCCAAAGTATCTCAATACAATGCCATAAGTAATCCAGACAAAATATATCAATGTCAGATATCGCATCAGCCAAATCCATCTAACTCAATCTATACGGCTGAGTTTATAGCTCATAACCAATCTCAATCATATCATATCAAATCCTGCACACGAGTCGGAACCACCTAAAGTGGTATGTATGACAAGACTAGGTATAAAATAAATATGCTCTAGTGCTACGATCACGTGAAGGCTGTGCAAATAATCGTGGGTCACGTACGAGTCGGAACCACCTATAGTGGTCTGTACGACAAGCCTGTGCACCTAACTTGGATCCAAGGTGAGCATATGGTGCGGGAGGTGATCATCACATGAAGAACTATGCCCTAACTTGGGGCGGGAGCACTAACACCGGGGTGTAGGTTTATGAGCTCTCAATACATCACATCATATCTCACATAATTGAAG